CTTCCCAACCTGTGGGATCTGGGCCAAATCCCTCACCCCTGCACAGCTGAGCCCCAGTCTGTGAGGGGCTGCTGAGCACACCCCTGGAACAACGCTGGGATGGCACCCAGCCCCCTGGCATAGGCACTGATGGCAGCCTGGGCATCGGGCACGGCCACTTCTGTTGCCTCTTCCACCATCCTGGAAGCAGAGGGAGACAAGACCAAGTGAGGAGGGTCACACCCACGCCCTGGACTCACTGAGGAGCACCCCTGGCCATGCTGTGGCTGGGCACCATGCTCCCTGCCCAGCCCACTGCTGATGTGGGATATCAGCTCCCAGGAGCCTGCTCAGCCGTGGGGCATCAGGTACCTACAGGCCCAGGGGTGCCACATCCATCACCTGCAGGGCTCGGCCGTCGGGACAGAGCAGGTCCCAGGCTTTGTTGTGGCTGCTGACCTGGAATGAGGGGGTTGCATTAGGCAGGGGGCAGGAAAAGGGGCTGCTGGCATTCCACTCTCACCAGGGGCCTGGACTGCTTGTGGCCATGCACAGGTGAGGGTTGAGAAAGGCTCATTTTGGGGTAACTCCCAGCTTTCCCAGCCCTGGCACCAGGGAAGGGCAGAGCCCTGGGAACGCCCGAGCCCTGTGTGGAGCTTATCAGACCCCTGGCAGCACCCCAGAGGCAAAGGGCAGGACCCAGCCCAGTGGCAGGAGCTGGCATCACTCCTGTGCCACTCAAGGTCACACTGGAGGGACCTGCAGGCCCCAGGGAGCAGTGAGTGGCCCGGAAAGCCCAGCTGTGATGGGAGCAGGAAGGGGTTAGAGGGCAATCCTGATCCCACCATGCTGCTGGAGCCCAGGAGGTGCTCTGTGGGCAGCTAAGGCTTCCCACATCTGGGAAGTCCTGGAAATAGGTGAGAACACCTGGGATCCAAAGGTCTCTAGTCCCTGGTCACCATCTGGATGAGGGGACTGGATGCCAGCACAGGGCGATACGTGCTCTTGGCACAGCAGGGTGTGGGCAGTGGCAGAGAGGGAATGGGACCCTCATCCCAGGCCATCCCGCCCTGCTCCTGCCCTACCTGGACCAGGCTGACCATCTGCAGGCTCTGTGTGGCATCCCCCAAGGCCTCCAGTTCCTGGAAGACGGTGTCAATCACCTGTGGACAAGCTGGGAGCTGTTGCTTCCCAGACCCATGGCTGGATCTCAGCCCTGCCCTGGTGGGATCGGGGTCTGCTGGGTGACCCAGGAGCCCAGCACTGCACAGTTGTGCTGTCCCCTGTCCCTGCCAGCTGTCCCCTGTGCCCTCACCTGCCAGATGACACTCTGGAAGGGCAGCTGTGTCCCAGGGCCGTGGGGGTCCCACAGCAGCAGGGACACGCTATAGCCAAGGGGAACCAGGGCCAGCTGGGGCCTTGCCAACTCCAGCACCTTCTCCTGGCAGGAGAGACATATCCAGCAGGGCACAGCGTGGCACAGCCAGCATGGCACAGTGTGGCACAGCGTGGCACAGCCAGCATGGTGCAGAGGGCCCTGGCCCGTGTGGCTGGGGACAGGGTACAGGGAAGGACTGGGGGCTCTGGGTACCTGTCCTGCATCCAAGTGGAAAACACCATCGACATTCAGGGAGCTCTCCTGGTGCAAGGACAGGGATAATGTTCATTATCAGCTTTCCCCTATCCCAGCATGACCAGGGCAGGGCAAAGGAGGGACTGGGCACGCTGGAATGGAGATGGCAGGGGTGGCACAGAGGGCCTGGCATGGGCAGGGGTGAGGAGAGAGGAGAGACCCCCTCCCTTCCCTGCTCTCTGGGAGCCCCCAGCAGTCCCTACAAGGGAGGGCCCATAGGGGTGTAGGGCAGGGTCAGCCTAAGAGCTCAGCTCCCATCAGGTGTGTGTCCCAGGCGTGGCAGGGGGTGGCACAGAGCCCTGCTCCCTCCTGGTTCCCCAGGGACCCTCGTGTCCCTGCCCTGCAGCTCTCACCTGGGGCTCCTTCCCAGCCAAGAGGAGCTGTAGGGGGTCCTTGCTGCTGTCCAGCCAGCTTTCTCCTGGCCCTGCAAACACTGAGTGTGGGATGTGGGGGGTCACCCCCACCTGTTCTAGAGCCACATCCCAGGGCTTCACCTCATTCCCGAGCCCTCCCGGTATGACTCAGAGCCACCAGGATGGGGAGGACACCCCGTCCCTGTCAGCACTGCCCAGTGCTTGGTCCCAGTGCCACCACAGCTGTGGCTGCCAGGCTGTCCCCTTGTTCCCTGGTGTTCAGGTGAAGGCTCTGGTAGAAGCTCTACCTGCTGCCTGCTGGAGGCCCAGGGCTGCTCGCACGCTGACATCCTGCTCAGCCTGCAGGGACACAGGGGGAAGCAGCCACACACTCAGCAGCAGCAGCAGCTGGAGGAGACCCCAGGGAGCTGGGCAGCCCCTGACAGATCCCTGCAAGCCAGCCTGGGCTGTCCCCCAGCACAGCACTCACCTGCTCCATGGGCAGTGTGGCAGCAGCGCCCCTGAGCTGCTGTTGGCCAGGGCAGGGATGGAGTTACCTGGGGGATCCGGTTCTCCTGCATTTTTGATGGATGTGGGCAGAGCCAGAGGCAGCCTGGAGGCACCCTGTTCCAGGGGCTGAGCCCTGCTGGACAGGAATCCGCGGGGCCACTCACACCACCGGGGTGCTCCCAGCCCCAAGAGGGACATCTCAGCCATGGCTGGGGGTGAGGGACCCTGGACTGCCATGCACGGTGTCACAAGTGACCACAAAGCACAGAATCGCTGCAGATCGGTCGCAGCAAGAGAGCACAGAAGGAAATGCCGGTGCTGAGGATCCCCGCTGTCTGTGGAAGTGCTGATGGGGAGTGCCAGGAGAGAGGGCCCAGGACAGCCCCTGCCCTGCTGTGGCAGGACCAGGGGGAGCAGATGCACACGCGTGCCTCTGCCTGCCTGTTCCCTGTGCAGAGTGAGACCAACGCCCCTGCCCCCCAAAACTCCCTCACCTGTGCCTCAGGTGTGAGCCTGACGCCAGCTGGACACAGATGGAGCACTGGGGGCTCCATCAGGAGCAGGCAGGTCACATGGCAGGGACAACAGGGACATGCTGGGGCTTGGGGAGTCGCAGGAGGCCAGAAGGAAAACCCCTGGGCAGGGTGGAGCCCTGGGACAGAGCAGGGCACGGGGCTTTGAGGGGCTCCCCTGTGCTCGGCTGGGCAGAGCCACAGTGGGATAATGCTGGGGGAAAGCCCTGCTCCACAGGGCAGCCCAGAATGGGGACTCCAAGAGCACTTGGGGGTCCTGTGAGCCTTCCAGGGAGCCCCTGTGGGAAGGGGCACACACCCCCTCCTGCTCTGTGCTCTGTCCCTGACCAGGCAGATCGGTGCTCCCAAGGCATAGCAAAGCCTGGGATTCAGGAGACAGGGGTTTATGTCTCCTTCCTCATCCATCAGCAGCAGCTGCTGCTCCCTGTTCCATGTCCAGCCAGGCCAGGGGCACCCTGTTGTGCACCCTGGTCAGCAGCAGCAGAGCCTTCACAACACCCTGAGCCAGCAGCCCCCTCCCCAGCCCAGGGCACGGCCCCATCCTCCCTCGGGCTGCCCAGGGCTGCTGGCACAGCCCCTCCACCCGGGCAGGGCACGCCCTGGACATGAGCACACGCCAGTCCCTCCCGACCCACACCTGACCCCACACCCTGTTCAGCAGCTCCCCAGCCCCAGCCTTGGTCCTTCCCCCATCCCAGCCAGCCCAGGCTGTGTTTGCCCGCAGGTCATGTGTACCTGTGCTCAAACAGAGAAAGGGAGGGACACGGGGAACACCCAGGCACAGCCTTTAATGCAGAGGCAGGACAGGCCCTGGGGAAGAAGAGCGGGCTTGGCCAGGGGAGCACTGCCTGCCTGCCACCAGCCCCTGCTTCTCTCAAGGACAGTGACAGGACAGGGGGAATGGCTTCCCACTGCCAGAGGCAGGGTTAGATGGGATATCAGAGAGAAATTCTTCCCTGTGAGGGTGGGCAGGCCCTGGCACAGGGTGCCCAGAGCAGCTGTGGCTGTCCCTGGATCCCTGGCAGTGCCCAAGGCCAGGCTGGACAGGGCTTGGAGCAGCCTGGGATGGTGGGAGGTGTCCCTGCCCAGGGCAGGGGGTGGAATGAGATGAGCTTTAAGGTACCTTTCAACTGAAACTGCCCAGATTCTATGATTCTCCCCCAACCCCATTTTCCCAAGCCTGTCCCTTCCCCACCCTCCCCTTTCCTTTGAATATTCCCCAGTCCTGCATCCCATAATCCATTTTCTCCTTACTATGAGATATTCTCTGAATAACCCAGAACAAATGAATTTTCTTCTCATCACTTACAAAGTTTCTGGTTGAACCTCCTCAGGGTCCCACTTGGACCCATCCACCAGTGCCTCAGGTCAGGGTGCAAGGAGCTGCTCCAGCTCATTAGCATTTGTGAGCAGGGTGTTTAATTTAGTCATTTTCCTATTCACGGGTTTTTGGTTTTTCTCTTAGGCGGAAGAGCAGCCAAGCAGCATCCTGCCAACCCTGACATCCTGGCCCAGCCAGAGCCTGGGTGAGGAGAGAGAGGATCAGCACAGGGGCCGTGGAGGCTCCAAGGATGCCTGGACTGCAGGGGCTGAAAGGTGTGGGGGGCTCCCCCAGCAGAGTCCAGCAAGGCTGGGGGCATCTGAGTGCTGCCAGTGGGATCTGATGGAGCTGAGCTCCTCTTGTCCAGGCCAGGTGACATGGCAGGGACAGTGGGGTGTGTTGGGGCTTGGGGAGCCACAGGGACATCCCCAGGGGGAGGCTGTGGCTGTGGGTCAGAGCATGGCACGGGGCTGGAGGTGAGGGGTGCCCCAGGGCCTGGCTGGGCACACTCCTGTGGTAATCACACATCCTCTGAGCAGAGACAGACGTAGTTCTCCCAGGATTTTCCTGGGGAGCTGTGAGAAGCTCAGAGAAAAGGACTACAAACAATTCTTATCTCCACTTGCTGTACCTGTTGTCATGTGCATGTGGAATAAGTGTTATGGAGATTGTTTACCAAAGGCTGATTTTTTAATTGGCCACTGGTGATGGTGTTTGGATTGATTGATCAATTAGGTCAAAGCTGTATGGGACTGTCTGCAAGGGCGATGGGTTTTTTCTTATTAGAACAGTACAATATAGTAGAACGAAGTGATTGATCAGCCTTCTGCAATCATGGAGTCGATGCTCATTATTCCCCATTCAGGGCTCGCTGCTAAGGTACAGGCACAGCAGGAAAACCCAGTGGACAGCCCTGCTCCAGCAGGGAGCCCCTCTGGGCACAGGGAGAGCCCCTCAGCAGAACGGGGAGCTGAGAGCCCGCCCGGGAGCCCCTGGGGGCAGCAGCGCTGGGAAGGTCCCGGTGCCGCTCAGGCTCTGCGGCACACGCTGCTCCTGGCCAGGCACACGGCCCCAGCCACAGCCAGCAGGGCCAGGGCCACGCAGAGCGGGGCCACCACGGCGGCGAGGTCACAGCGCAGCACCGACAGGGGCACCCGGGCCACCTGCCAGCCCTGGTACTGGGCTGGGGAGTGGCACCTGTAGTCCCCGGGCCAGCCCTGCCCCAGGTGCCCCGTGGCTGCCAGCGCCTGCAGCCCCCCGGCCCCAGAGCAGGAGCAGCTGAAGGGGTTGCCAGCCACAGCCACGTCCTGCAGGCGCCCCAGGAGCTTCACCTCATCTCTGGACAGCTCCCAAATGGAGTTGTTGTCCAGGTGGAGGGTGTCCAGCACGGGGCAATTCCTGATGGAGGGGACGGCCTGCAGCAGGTTTTGATTCAGGAAGAGCTTCTTCATGGAGCTGAGGGAGATGTCTACAGCGTGGAGGTGGTTGTGGCTCATGTCCAGCACCTCGAGGCGGGGAGGCAGCGGTGCTGGCACTTCATCCAAGCCGGTGTTGGACAGGTTGAAGTGCCGGAGGGATGGTGGCCACTGGCAGGAGGAGGATGGGCCTGCCACGAGCTCGTTGTGGCTGAGATCCAGGTGCTGGAGCTCCAGCAGCAGCCCCAGGCCCTCACATACGCCGTGGTAGGAGCTCAGGTTGTTGTGGTGCAGACTCAGCTGCTGGAGCTGAGGGAAGGCTCCCTGGCAGAAGGCGGGGGTCAGACTCCCGTCCCCGAGGCTGTTGTGTGCCAGGCTCAGGGAGCGCAGGGCTCTGAACAGCCTCCCGATGGCACAGGGCAGGCTGGTGACACCGGAGCCGGTGACAGCCAGCTCCTCCAGGGTCTCCAGCCACCTGCTCAGGCTGGAGAAGGCCTGCTCACGGCCTGTCAGCGGGGCTGAGGTCACGTTGTGGAAGCTCAGGGACAGGATGGGCAAGTTCTGCCCATCCATGTCACTCCAGTCGCCTGTGCCCTGGAAAATGCAGCTCTCAAAGGCCAGCTCCTGCACGTGCGTGTAGGAGAAGAACCTCAGCACACGGGCCAGGAGCATCTCAGGCACCAGGACATTTCCAATAATTATTTTCTGGATGACAAGGGAGCCCAGAGTGTCAATGACAGAGTCGTCCAGGTCCCTGATGGGGAAGGCTGCGTATTTCTCCAGATCCCCACCCCAAAACTCCACCGTGGTTGCTGGGAGGCACTGGATGATGCTGCCAGCGGTCTCCTCGGACAGGTTGTAGCACACACAGGACTCCTGAGTGCGGTTGAAGAAACACCTGTTCCTTCTGCCCTCTGCCACCTGCAGCCCCAGCCCCAGGAGCAGGAGCACGGCCACACTCATGGTGAACAACCTAAAAACTAGGGGAGAAACGGTGAATGGCAGCTGAGGGGACCACTCTGACCCAGCCTGGAGGGATGGCTTGGGCAGGCTGAGCCCTGCAGAGCCACCCCTCGGGGACAGGGCGCTGCCCTCGTCCCTCCTGCACCCTCCTGGCCACTGAGCCGTGCTCGGGCCAGCAGCCAAATGCCCAGGAGCTGCACCCGTGCCACCCTGGCCGCAGCAGGGAGTCTCCCGAGGCTCTGCACTGTCCTGCCTGGCTGCCTTGCTGCAGGCTCCCACTCCTGGGCGAGCAGGAAACGCCTGGAGAAACTACAACTGTGGAGTTACAGACAGCGAAGCCAGATGTACCAGTGTGACCAGGGAGAGAGCCCCAGCTCTGTTTGTTCCTCTGTAATCTGGGGCAGGAAATTGCAACAGACGGCTTCATGCTTTCTCCTTCCTCACCCAGCGATTTGATTCACCACCGGCCCCCAGAGGGGTAGAAAATGACCCCTGAAGGTGTGAACACATCCCTGTCTGCACCAGGATCTGGTCGGCTGACAGAGCCTGATCTCTCATCACCAGATTGCAAAAGAAGCAGCAAGCAAAGATTAAAGACTCCTAAACATGTGCTGACTCAGCTCAAAGGGGGTCTTTGGGGGTCCCCAGCCCAGCCTCCTGCTCCGAGCCGTTCTGTCGCTGGCACCAGCCCTGATCAGGCACAGCTTTCCTCGGCCACATCCCAAAGCCCACCCGGGACGGAGCTCTCCCTACCTGTCCGTGCCATCCCGGGGCCGCAGCCCCCGAGCCCTCGGGCGGGCAGGGCAGGGGCAGCTCGGTGGCTCTGTGCGGTGACTCAGCCGCCAGCTCACCCCGAGCGCTTCCTTGCTCGCTCCTTCCTCCAGCTGCTGCCAAACCCGCGCTGAGCTGCCAAGGGCTCCGAGCGCTCAGCTCAGCCCCGTCCGGCACCCGCTGCGCCGCGCTCCGCCGGCCCCTGGGGCGGTGCTCCAGCTGTGCTCAGCCGTGTCCAGCCGTGTCCAGCCGTGCTCCAGCCGTGCTCAGCTGTGTTCAGATGTGCTCAGCCGTGTTCCAGCCGTGCTCCAGCCGTGCTCAGCTGTGTTCAGATGTGCTCACCCGTGTCCAGCCGTGCTCCAGCTGTGCTCAGCCGTGTCCAGCCGTGCTCCAGCCGTGCTCCAGCTGTGCTCAGCTGCGTCCCGCCGTGTCCAGCCGTGCTCCAGCCGTGCTCCAGCTGTGCTCAGCTGCGTCCCGCCGTGTCCAGCCGTGCTCCAGCCGTGCTCCAGCTGTGCTCAGCTGCGTCCCGCCGTGTCCAGCCGTGCTCCAGCCGTGCTCCAGCTGTGCTCCAGCTGTGTTCAGCTGTGTTCAGATGTGTTGTGTTCAGCTGTGTTCAGCTCTCCGGGCCGGGTGCCCACGCCCGGGGCTGGGCAGACACCTCGAGCCGCTCCCGGGCACAGCCCTCGCTCCCGCAGCGTGACTTCCTGAGCGGCTCGGAGCCACCCGAGCCACTTCTGCTTCGCTTCCCTGCGGCTGCGGGCTGGGAAAGGCTGCGGCCGGAGTGCCAGAGCCGCTGGCTTTCCTAGGAAGGGTGAGGGAACGGAGCGGGGGCAAGGTTCCCCAAATGCACCTTCGGGACCAGCCCTCCCAGATCTGTGGTGCTGCTGTGCCTCAGGGCTCCCCGGGTGCTGAGCACCCTGCAGGCGATGCACAATCGTTACAGTGTCACCGTCATATTTTCTGGAAAAATCCCCTTGCCCAGGATTTCTCTCCTGGGAAGCAGAGAAGCCTCAGAGAAAAAGGAAAACAATACTATCTCATTTGCTTCTCCTGTGTTTTGCTGCTTTGGAATGTGGTTGGAGATTGTTCATCCAACAGGTGGTTGTTTCATTGGTTTCATGTGAATTGTTTTGACTTAATGGTCAATTATGGTCAAGCTGTGTTGGACTCTGGAGTCATTAGTATCTTTCTGTCTGTATCCTTTCTGTATAGTTTCGTATAGTATTCTTTAATATAATATAGATCACAAAATAATAAATTAGCCTTCTACTAAGAACATGGAGTCATGTCACTATAGGACACGAGACAACATGATGCAGACACGCTGCTGCTCTCAAGGCAGGAAAAAGGGAAGTTTTTATTCAGACTCCAGCATTTCCAAAGGTGACAGTCGATTGGAGGGTGACAGTGCCACCTCTCCAATGGCACTGGACAAACCAACAGTCCATCAAATTTCTCCTCCTCCATAAAGGAATGCAAAACAATAAGTTGTTTACAGAAAGTGTGTGAGAAAGTTTGCTACAAAAATGCAAACATCAGAAAGCTTAAAAAATCTTTAAAAATCAAAACAACAGAGTCAGATTCATCATTCCTTCCTTTGTCTGGGAACCTCGTGAATAGGAGAGTACAGGACTGTCACACCTGGCATGCAGACCATGCCCAGGGGCTGTGTTCCATGTGGGATGGGGATGGCACAATTCCCATCCATTGTCCGGGCACCTGGAGATGCACCAGAAGGAGCCAGAAGTGCTCCAGAAATGATGGATGTGGCACTGAGTGCTCTGAGACAAGGCGGGGATCAAAGGTTGGACTTGATGATCTTGGAGATCTTTTCCAGCCTAAAAGGTTCTGTGGTTCTATGATCTTTCAGGAATTTTTTTTCTTTCTCAGAGTTTTTTTGCCTATGTTGGATTCAGAAAAGTAATGAAATGTTGGAATTTCAGGCTCTTTCTTGCTCCAAGGTCAGGGCAAATAAAACTCAGGAGACATTGTTTTTGAAATCTCATTCTGAAGTTTATTATCCTTATCTATTACAAACTTATGAGATGTGAGCTCTCTCTAAAAGGTTGAGAAAGTGACCTAAAATGGTGTCTGTTTAAGGCTATTTAAGTCCCAATTACCCAACAAACAGTTGACATGTATATTATTTATGCTTTTAACCCAATTATGATCACCACAATGTGGACATCCTTCACCCAGTTAGAGAAAACCACCCAGATTCATGAAGAAGAAGGAAGAAGAAGGTGCAAAAAAGACAACTAACCCACACCCAAAATTCCCCATCTTGGCTCCCATATATGACCATATACTAAAATCCCAAATCTAAGTTTTTTCACCCTGTGAGATCACACTTCTAACCAATGACACACCCATAGTCCCAGTGCTTTAATCAATTTTGGAAACCTTCTCCACATCACCGGGTCAAATGCAGTGTTCTCCTGAGGGTCTGTGCCTTTCAGCACAGAAAGTTTAAAATTCTCAGCATCCAGGGTTCCAGCAATGAAACTGCAGGGCTGGACAATGCAATTCCGTTTGCTGTAGTTAATGTGGCATTACCCCTTGGTGCCACAACAGCTGGGCTGGGGTCCCTTGATCTCTGGGACTCTTGTGCAGAGGTTCTCAGCAATTCCGTGATTCCTCTTCTACATCCTTGGCTTACATTAAATTCCTCAGCACAAAAGGACATGGAGCTGCTGCAGCAAGTCCAGAGGAGACCCCAGAAATGCTCCAAGGGCTGGGCACAGCACCTGCTGTGTAGGCAGGCTGGGAGATGGGGCTCTCCAGCCTGGAGGAGGCTCAGGGGAGGGCTCAGAGCCCCTGCCAGGGCCGAAAGGGGCTCCAGGAGAGGGACCTGGGACAAGGGCCTGGAGTGACAGGACTCAGGGAATGGCTTCCCACTGCCAGAGGCAGGGTTAGATGGATATTGGGAAGGAATTCTTCCTGTGAGGGTGGGGAGCCCCTGGCACAGGGTGCCCAGAGCAGCTGTGGCTGCCCCAGGATCCCTGGCAGTGCCCAAGGCCAGGCTGGACAGGGCTTGGAGCAGCCTGGGATGGTGGGAGGTGTCCTTGCCCGTGTGGAGGGGTTGGAACTGGGTGAGCTTTAAGGTCTCTTCCTATCCAAAAGGGTCTGGAATTCCATGAAACTGCTGCTGAGTGATGATGGAAAAGTCACAGCTGCCCTCTGAGCTCTCCTCCCGGCCCCTTCTGAGAGCCGGGGCTGGTGCCTTCAATGTCTGCCGTGCAGCGGCGAACTCCCCGAACACCTCGCAGGGAAGCACGAACTGCTGTGCCCCTCGGTGCCCATCACCGCGGCGGAAGGGCCCTGGGCAGGGATCCGCCTCGCTCCGCATTTCTGCTGAACCTCCGGGCCTTTTTTTGCCCTCAGCACAGCGAGCGCGCATCCCACCCCTGCGGGGCACAGCGGCCGGTGCCCGGAGCGGGCTGGATGCTCCGGATGCGAAGGGGGCCGGGACCGTATTTTCCCCGCCCCGGGACCGCCCCAGGACGGCCCCAGGACGGCCTTTTCCTCCTCCTCCTCCTCCTCCTCGTCCTGCTCCTCCCGCTCCGCCATGTGGGGCCGGCGGCGGGGCCGGCGCGGCGGGCGCAGCGCGGAGGAGCTGCGGGTGCGGCGGCGGGAGCGAGAGGCAGGTCCGGCCGGGCACAGCGGGCACAGCCGGGGGTGTGCGGGGTCCCCCGGGGTGGGAGGGACCCCCCAGCTCGGCCCTCGCCATCCCCATCCCCGCCCGGCCGCGCCCCGCGGGATGCGCGGGGGGAGCGGCGCCGCTGCCGCTCGGGGAAGCGTTTTACAGCTTCAGATTTTAACCCTTGGGGTTTCTGCCATGAGTTCCCCGTTTCTTCCACTGCCCCACACTGTTCGGGTTTTCCAAGGTCTCGCCTAGGTCTTAGCCTGGAGGAAAGGAGGCTCAGGGGGACCTTGTGGCTCTGCAGAGCTCCTGACAGGAGGGGACAGCCGGGGGGTCGGGCTGTGCTCCAGGGAACAGGGACAGGAGGAGAGGGAACGGCCCCAGGCTGTGCTGGGGAGGTTTAGCTTGGATATTGAGGAAAATGTCTTCATCAGAAGGGTGGTCAGACATTGGAACAGGTGGAGTCATCATTCCTGGAGGTGTTTTCCAAACAAGTAGACGGGGCACTTGGGGCATGGCTTAGTGGCCATGGTGGTGTTCAGTTGAAGGCTGGAGTTGATGATCCTGCACTTCTTTTCCAACTTTAATGATTTTCTGATCCTGTGTGGAATCCAGCCTCAGGTCCCGTGTTCCTGCCCCTTATCCCAGCAGTGGCTTCACACTTTGTGTGCCCGACCCTCAGCCCAGCTCCAAGTGCTGTCCCTGCTCGTGCATCCCTTCCAGCCTTGCACAGGGAGGAATGGGTAGTTCCTCCCTGGATTAAGGGAGGAGTGAGGCTCTTGGGCAGGCTGGAGGAGCGTCCTGGCCCGGGCAGGTGGTGACCCCTGACACCTTCTGGTCCTGCAGCTCTCAGGAAGGCGCGGCGGCAGGAGCAGCTGGTCAGCAAGCGGCTGCTGCGGGAGGACAGTGCGGCCGAGGAGGGGGCACAGCACGGAGCAGACGTCGTGCCAGACCCGCTCTCAGAGGATGAGGTGATGAACCTGACGTTCTCTGTGGCAATGGGGTCCCGGGGGGTCTTCCCCAGACTCAGCATGTGAAGGAGGCTGGGCAGGGCTGGGTTTGGGAATGGTTCTGGTTCACTGCCAGGCACAGTTAAGGCTCCTTGTGCCCACCTTTGTGCCCTGGGCTCCTTTGCTTGGAGGATTAATGGGGTGAAATCTTAATGCTGGCAGTGCTGGAAGCTCACCCACCTCTGAATTCCCTGGCCAGGTTCTGGAGCTGCTCAGGGGTGTGCAGAGGGGTTCGGAGGACAGGAAGCGATCGCTCGGCCGCCTCCGCTGGGCTCTGCAGAACGAAGAGACTCAGCAGAAGTTTGTCAGGTCAGCCCAGGCCTGCTGTGCCGTTACAGGGACGTGTCCCGAGGGCCCTGTGTCCCTGTGCTTGGGTGGGCAAGCTGGAGGTGACAGCAGCCTTTGGGTCCCCAGGTTGGACGGCAGCATCCGGACGCTCACCGGGCTCTTCACCAGCAGCCTGGCTGACCTGCAGCTGGAGGCTGCCCGCTGTCTGCACGAGCTGTCCCACTCCAGTGTCCCTGCCGTGGCCGAGGCGTGCCTGCCTGTCACCTCCTACCTGCTCACCTACCTGTCGGGACACAGCCTGGAGCTCACGGTGAGAGCCCTGTGCACCTGGGAATCCTTTGGTGTGGTTGGTGCTCACCTCTTGTGGTCACACGTGGCTCACGTGGGAGTGCTGCTGAGGAGGGGCCCTCTGGTAGCAAAAATCTTTTGGCATCACAGCCTGGCCCTCAGAGCAGGATTGCTCCCAGTGCCCAGGTGTTACAGCCTGCCCTGAGCTGGGGTAACTGAGTTCCTGTTCATCACAGATCCCTTGGGTTGCATTAGAGTGGAACCACACTGAGTGACCCATGTTTATGTACATATGTGTGTGTGCATATATATTTAGTAGGTTTATTTTGGAACAATTTGCAATAGAAAGGAGGTATGTAACCATTTTGGTTTTTATCTGTAGAAATGACACAATATAAAATTACAAAGATGTCACTTAAGAAAATGTATAAGGAAAAGGATAAGAGTAGATAGAGTGCCTGTGGCTGCATGCCTTGCAACTTGATCTGGGAAGGAGCAAACAGCTGGAGTAGCTCTGGGCTGCCATGTGTTTTCCAGCTGCTCCATGGGGAAGCAGACAGGCTTAGAGCTAAAGAGCAAGGTGGGCAGTGACCCCGCTGCTGATCCCATTTGGGTGCACCACACATTCAAGCTCCAGGAGAACCAGAGGGGACTCAGGGAAATGTCATCCTGAAAAACCTCCAAAGTGGGAGTGATCAGATAGAAAAAGAACAAACTGAAGATGATTGAGCTGGGAATGGGGTGGCTGGAGAGTCCAGCAGCATCCATCTGTGTTTGCCCCTCCAAGGCCAGCTCCTGCTCAGGGCAGCGTGTGGGACCTGGGGCTGTGCTGGCTGCCCACGGGGTCACCCCTGCTCTGCTCTGTTGTTGCAGGAGCTGTGTTTGTACACACTGGGGAACCTCGTAGTAGAAAGTGAGGCTGTGAGGAAGCAACTGCTGCCTCAGGGCATTATTCCAGTGCTGGCATCCTGCATCCAGGTGGGTGAAACAGCTCAGTCACATTTCTGCTATGCCCTGGAGAGACTTTCTGGCTGACAGCCCTGAGTCACCAGCCCTCCTTCCAGCTGTGGGGAAACTGCAGGGAGCTGTTCCCACGAGCGTCAGGGTCACTTGTGGGCTCCCTGTGCTCATTCTTGGGGCTCAGCTCAGCACCTTGTGCTCTTCTCCAGCTGAATCCCCCCCATCCAGTGGCTGCCTGGTACATTCTGTAGCACAGGGAGCCCTGTCCCCTCTGCCTGGCCTGGGTCCAGCAGGGCTGTGGTTTGCAGGTCCACATGCTCACACCAGGACTTTTCCTGTGTTTGGGCTAAGGCCAGTGAATATGGGGAGGGGAACAGCTCAGCTCTGGTGTGGCCACAGGTTCCTGTGTCCCTCCTGGTCCCTTGTATGCCCCCTATTCTCCAAGCACGGTGGGGCTGTGCCGCTCAGCTGGGTTTGGTTGGCACCCTGGGGCCCTGGCTCTGCCAGGAGGGATCAGCTCTGTTCTCTTTGGTTGCAGTCCCCTCACGAGGCAGTGCTGGAAGGTGTGGGCTATGTCCTCTCACAGCTCCTCCAAGCCAAGGAAGCACCCACGGAGATCATCCCGTGAGTCTGAGCCCCTGAGCCCTGCACCAGGCCGGGCCCTGGGGCCTCCAGTGGGATTTGTGTGCTGGGGACACGAGGCCTTCCCCATCCCAGTGACATTAATAGTTCAGGCCACAATCCTACCAGAACTGTGCAAGTTTTGATGCAGATCAGGGAGCAGGGTTTGGCTCCTTTCCCTCAGCCTCATCTGAGCAGGCAGCTCTGGTATTTCAGTAAAGGCCAGCATGGAGCAGGAAAGGCTTGCAGGGAATTCTGACTGTGTTCCTCTTGCAAAGGAAAAGATCAGCTTGACAGCCCCCAGTGCCAAAAATGTGACCCCAGTCAGAGTGTCCTGAATGTCCCCAGACCCTGCCATGGACAGGGAGAGCCCAAGGCCACAGCCCTTGGCTCAGAGTCGCTTCCAGGTGTGTGTTTGGACCCTGTGGCCCCTAGGATGGGTCCCTGCTCAGGGTTTGTGTCTCCCTGTTGGTGTCCTGCCTGTGCCTCCATTAACTCTGCTCTCTGCCCCCAGGTTGGTCCTAGACTCGGCTCTCCCCCAGCACATGCTCCAGCTGGTCTGCTCTGGCCTGAAGGCTGGCATGGGAGCAGCTGTGGAGTTTGCCTGGTGTCTCCACTACATCATTTGTAGGTAAATGCAGTTTTCTTCTCGTTTCAAGTTCCCTGGGGGCAGCCAAACAGAGGCACGAAGGTTCACGGTCCTGTGATGGGATCTGGATTGCCTCCCCTTTTCCCTTGGGAAAGCAATTCCCCAGCCAGCCTGGGTGTCCCAGCTCTCCTCTCTGAGCACATGTGCTGTTTGCAGGATCACTGAGCTCTTTTACAGGGTGGGAAAGGGCTTGAACCCGAGGAGGCTGTTTCTAGTCCTCTGAAATGCTCCCAAATTGCTTCCCCATGCCTGGAGTTGTCCCCCACACTTCCCAAGGCAAGCTCCCTGAATCCTCACACTTGTGGGGTTGGCCCAGGGCCACCTGTCTGGGCTGTGCCAGCAATCCCTGCCTGCCACTGGAGCCAGGGACTGAGTAGATACTCAAGGGTCAGGGCTGTTGTTCCCAGACCCACACAGATAATTCCAGTGAATCTGATTTTCACGGGCTTTTAAATTTTCTCATAAGCTCAGAAAAAAACCCTGCTAATCCAACGCAAAAGAAGTCACTGTTCCAACATGAAATAAGCTCTGTGGTGGTTCAGGAAAGCACTCTGAATTTCCAGGCCGTGTTTGGTGAGGGGATGTGGCAGTTTCCCCTCTCCAAGCTCCAAGGCCACGGCACTGTCCCTCCCTTTGCAGGCACAAGGACAACGTGCAGCTGCTGGCGCTGGGGGCCGTGCCCGCGCTCACCTCGCTCCTGCTCGACCTGGCTTCCCAAATCCCCCAGGATGCTCCCGAGGGCCTGGAGCTGGTGAGAGGTGGGCAGGGCGGGCTGTTCTCAGGACTGCTGCGGCACGCCGCTCAGCTGAAGGCGTGGCCGTGTCCCCGTGTCGCAGCTCGCGTGCCCCGTGCTGCGGTGTCTCGGTAACCTGCTGGCACACACAGGCTGCCAGCGCCCGGACGCGCGCCTGCTCGTCGCCCTCTTCCTCGTCCTGCAGCGCTTCCTGCGGCAGCACCCTTTCCTCGTGCAGGAGTGCCTGTGGCTGCTCAACAACCTCACGGGTCAGTGTCCCACGGGCAGGTGGCACGGCCGGGCGCTGCTGGCACCCGCCCTGGTTTTAGTCACGCGTTCCTTCTCTGCCCACCTAGCGGATGATCCCTTCTTCTGCTCCGCTCTGCTCTCCCTGGACCTGCTGCCGGCCCTGCTGCAGCTGCTGACGTGTTCCCAGATGGGCACTGTGCTGGTGAGCCTTGCCCCAGGCACTGGGAGTGGTGGGGGAGCGCTGGAGTTTTAGGAACACGAATCCCACAGTGACAGTGCTGGAGTTGGGGGTGGATGGGGCAGCAGTGACAGCTTGGCAGAAGGTCTCGTGTGGTGGCGGTCACCAGCCACCTCCCCCGAAGCCACTCCAGCTGTATGTGCCCTTGGCAGAGCCTTGTCCCGGCATGAGAGTGGTCCCCAGGGAGATGTTAGCTTGGGGCCAGCCTTGGAGCAGGGCTGGAAAGGCTCCTGCCTTTGCTTGGAAAGATCCCAAAGCTTTGGGAGACTGGGGACGCTGCCAGGAGTGGGTGGCAAGGCTGGGTCTGCCTGGCACAGGGATCAACAGTGCCTTGGGGTGGCTGTGGAGAAGGCTTTCCAAATCCAGTGGTTTAGTGGGCACTGGGCTGTGGGCAAGCACCTGGCAGGACAAGAAAAAAAGGTGGAGAGGGACTTCAGGCAAGGGCACGAGTGACAAAACAACAGGGAATGGTTTCACACTGAGAGGGCAGGCTTAGATGGGATATCGGGAAGAACTCTTCCCTGTTAGAGTGGTGAGGCCCTGGCACAGGTTGCCCAGAGAAGGGATGGGGCTTGGAGAAACCTGAAATAGTGGAAGGTGTCCCTGGCCACAGCAGGGGTTGGACTGGATGAGCTTTAAGGTCCCTTCTAACCCAAACCATTCCACAACTCCATGACATGGGTTGGGAGCCCTCCCAAGCCTGTCAGGAATGTGCCCATGGAGCATTCACTGCTCTCTCCTGTCCCTCCCACAGGTCCTGACTGTGCTGTGCAACATGGCAGAGAAGGGACAGTTCCAGTGCCAGCGGCTGCTCCAGCAGCCCCTCCTGGCCCAGCTCCTGCCCCTGCTCACACTGCCCGACCCCGAGGCCGTGGGGCAGTGCCTGGAGCTGCTGCACCTCCTCTTCCTGCACTGCCCAGAGGTGAGAGCTCAGGGGGCAGGATTGCAAAGGGGGTGGGGAATGATTACTGTGGAGGTTGTTGTTGTGGAGGGGGATTATTGCAATCTGAGTCACAGTGCCCTCAGTGACTGCCACGCTGCCCTCCAGCCCTCAGCACCCAGGCCCCTGGCCAAAGGGACGCTGTGATGCACAGGGTGGCTGGAAGCCCCTCTTGTGTCTGCAGAGTTCCTTCCTCTTTGCCAAGGAGTGGTGTTGGGGCAGGTTGTTTCTACCCCAAGTCTTCTTTTGCTCCTGCTGAGGTTGCTCACTTGCTGCAGATCACAGGAAAGAGTTCTCTGAGGTGGGCAGACCCTGGCACAGGGTGCCCAGAGCAGCTGTGCCTGCCCCATCCCTGCATGCCCAAGGCCAGGCAGGATGGGGCTTGGAGCACCTGGTGGGAGGTGTCCCTGCCCGTGGCAGGGGCTGGGAATGAGATGGGTTTTGAAGTCCTTCCCAGCCAACCACCAGCATGGTGGGATTTACCTGGATTGGGAATGCAGCTCTGGGGAATTCCTTCAGCCCTGTTCCCTGGGATGTGGTGGCTTGGGCAGAGATGATCAGCTGTAGCCCTCTGCCAGCTCTCACCCTCTCCTCTCACACAGGCTGCTGCTGATTTCACCAGGCAAGGTGGGCACCGGGCCCTAGAGCAGCACCAGAGCACCCCAGAGCTGCAGGAGCGGGCACAGGCACTGCTGGACATGGTCAGGCAGCCCCCAGGAGCCCCCAGTGCCTGCCAGGCCACACTGGCTGCCTCCTCCTAGGCCCTGCCCTCTGCCTTCCCTGCCCTGAACTGCCAGGGGAGGAATAAACTGTTCACCCCAGTGCCCAGCTTCCCAAGGGCTGCTCAGGGCTCTGGTGTGCCCAGTGCTGGCTGCATGGGGGGCTGGTCCTTGTCACCAGCTGGTAGCCACCAGCCCAGTGCCCCCCAGAGCCTGGAGCAGGGGCAGAGCTGAGCTGCAGATTCTCCTGTGCCAGGGAGGGCTGCATCAGCCATTCCTTGAGCTCTCAGCCACCACCAAGCTCAAGGTAAGCACATTGTGTTTATGAATTGATAAATTAAAGATACATTTTTGACATTGAAGGTAATCAGTCGAGTCTCCAGCACGTGTGTACTTCCCGTCTGTCACGCGTGGCCTTTCACAACGCTCTCCAGGGCCTTGCCCACTTCATCCACACTTAGGTTGTTCAGTGGGATGCTCTTCTCCTTCCCAAACTCTGTGGGAAAACAGGCAGGGTGAGAGGAGGCAGGTGTGTGGGTCCTTTCCTGGTGCAAGGCACTGATGTCACAGCCCAGGCTCCCATCACCACGTCCCAGTGTTCCTCCACGTGCCCAAGTTAACGTTTCCACCTTCTTATTCTCCTCCTTTCCCTTGGAAAGAACTCAAAGCAGCTCCCCCCAGTATCTTTCCCAGTCTCCCTTTGTCAGCTCTGGCTGGGCAGAGACACATCCAAGAGCAACCCTGTGGCCTTCAGCCTCATCCCAGCAAGGTGTTCCCCTCAGGAAAGCAGCCTGAAAACTGTTCCTGCAGCTGCCCCAACCTGGGCTGACCCCGGGCTCCACTTCCCTGCCAGTCCCACCCAGACACACGAGACTCCCCTGGTCTGTGTGCTCACACTGGGAAACCTGTGCTTAAAGAGTCACTGCATCTTTTCAACAGGTTCTAAATTATTTTTTTCCAGCCCAGGTGACCTTTGAGGAAAAGAAATCCTTTCCAGAGGGGCTTTTGTGCTCCCTTCTTGGTGTTTCACTAAGAAGGCAGTGAAAATAAAAGAGGAACAGCCACATTTTTGTGTAGTGACTGGGGAGAGGGTGGGAGATGACCCAGCCCCAGAGGCTGGAAAGGCCCTGCTGAGCTCTGGGCCCTGCTCTGCTTCCCCAGGGTCACTTTCCTGAAGTGACCCCGCAGCCTGGCCTGAGGGCAGCTGCTCCCTCTGCACCACCGCCCCTCCTGGAGCCCCCGAGCAGCAGTGCTGCAGGCCAGAGCTGAAATCCCTCCCTGGAGCGGGGCAGGCCTGGCACGGCTGCCCGGAGCAGCTGGGGCTGCCCCGGCCCTGCAGCGGCCGGGTCCCGTGGAAGGTGTCCCTGCCATGGCAGGAGGGGGCAGCCAGGAGCTTTAAAATCACTTCTACCCCACACGGTCTGTGCTTCTCCCCACCCCCGTTCTCCCGTGCCTGTCCTTTCCCCACGCACCGATCCCTCCCATAAATACGGATGGGCCCTGAAGTCCTTTCCAACCCCAACCATTCCCGGATAATTCCGTGGTGTTTCCCGGCGGGCAGCCCCTACTTACCGTACCGAGCCCAGAGCTTGGGCTGGATACCGGAGCACTCGCGGATCAGGATGGGGAAGTCGGGATTTGCCTTCTTCAGGGTCACATAGTGCTGCTCGATAAATTCCCTGCGGAGGGAAGGAGGAGCGGCGGGTCCCTGTGGCTCAGCCCGCGGGTGTCTCGCTCCCCTGGGGGACCACCCCCGTCCCGGCCCATCCCCGCGCTGACCTGACGCCGCGGCTGCTGGCGGAGCGCTGACACAGGTGGATGCGGAGCTCCCTCAGCGCCTGGCCCAGCCCGCCCCCGATGCTCTTCACAGCGGCCGCCGCCATCTTCCCTGCCCGCACAACAGCGGGGGCGGAACCGCGGTGCCTCCGCCAATCGCAGAGCCAGCTGTGGCCCGTTCACCAATGGGAGCGCCCGCAGTGATCTCACCCACCAATGGGAGCGCCCACCGTGATCGCAGCCGCCAATGGGAGCGCCCGCCGCGGTGTGCGCTGGGAGGGCCGCGCAGAGCGGAAGGGTCGCGCAGCGGAGCGGGGAGCGCAGCGATGCCGGACCGCGACAGTGAGTGTGGGGACAGGGGGCACGGGGCATTCCCGGACACCCCCGGACCGCGACACTTGGCCCGCGCGGGGCCGTCGCGGCGCTTTTGGCGGGGGCGGGTGGCAGCGGCCCGTGGGGGGCGGTGTAGGCCCAAGCTGCGCTGGGGAGCGGGGGGACCCCGGGGAGCCCCGGCCCGGTGCGAGGGACAGCTCTGCGGGGGGACGGGCTGCGGCCACAGCCCGCGGAGCCGGGACAGTGACCGCGCGGGACCGCTCGGCTGCCCACGCTGAGGAGCTAGGCGGGGGTGCGGCGGGGCTGAGCCTCAGCGCGGGGATTGACACCGGGGTGCCCCGGGAGCGGGGCCGTGGCTGTTCCGGGCCCTTGAGAGGATGCGGGGCAGTCCCGGGCTGCGGGGCACGGGACACCCTCGGGGAGAGACGCCCTCTAGAAGGGACAGAGCCGCGGGGCTTGGGGGCGGTGGGTCTGGCAGTGGCACCGGGACCCCCGTGTCCTGCTCCGGCAGCGAGGCCGGCCCGGGTGCCCTCGGGCTGGGATCCAGCTCGGAGCCACGGGCAGACACTGTTCCCTTCGGGCTTCTGGGAGGCGTGAAGCTGTGCAAGCCGTGCCTGAGCTCTCTCTCCTGTTCCCTAGATGAGCCGTTCTCCAACCCCCTGGCCCCCGAGGGCCACGATGTGGACGACTCGCACTCCTTCCACCAGTGAGTACAGCCCTGGGGCACTGGGCTGGGGCTGGAGCAGCACTGAGGGACCCCAGGCTGATTCCCATGGAGAAGCTGGAAGTCACTGGTGCACTCCAGCCTTTGGGCCTCCTCCACGGGTACCTGGTGCCCATCTCGGTCACACAGGACCTGCTCCTCCTCCAGAGCTCTTTGGGAGTGATGGTTTCTGTTCCTTCCCTCCCTTGCAGGTCCAAGCTGACCAATGAAGACTTCAGGAAGCTTCTCATGACCCCGCGGGCTGCGCCAACATCTGCGCCACCCTCCAAATCTCGCCACCATGAGTGAGTGGGGCTCTGTTTCACAGGTCCATGGGACAATCCGTGCCCCCTTTCCCTCTGGGGCTCTGGGCCCAGCTGACCTCTCCCCTGCACTCTGCAGGGGAATATCTACAGGGGCTTTTGCCAGTGAGTGTGGGAAGTAGGGAAGCATGTGGGTCAGGGCTGCTGTAAAGAAAAGAGTGAGGCTTCATAGCTTTTAAGACACTATGCAGGAGGCAGATTTGGTTTGGTGAAAATTAGTTTTTTCCCTTCCTCTCCCTGCTGACAGTGTAGAATTAGGGGGGAATTAAGGGTGAGAGACTGTTCTGTTCCATCTCCGAGCACCTCAGTGCTCTGCTGTATCTAGGGACTGTTCTGTCCACCTGTCACCCATGTGGCTCTGCAGGCTGTACATGTGTTTTTCCACCCTTTTCCAGGATGCCCCGGGAGTACAATGAAGATGAAGATCCAGCGGCTCGTAGGAGAAAGAAGAAAAGGTAAGTGGGGAAAGAGAGGCAGCAGGACTTGTCATTATACATCATGTCCTTCCAGTGGAAGCAGTTCTGATCTCTTGTGCTCCCAAAGAGAGCCTTGAGTGGATTATTTAAGAGCTTTGGAGAAGAGCTCAGGCTGAGGAGCTGTCACTGCTTGTGGGAACAGCTGTGGGAGGGCAGCAGTAGGATGGGGCTGAAGCTTCACCTCCAGAAGAAGCAGGAGAGGCCCTGTGGGTGTCTGGGAGAGCAGGGCAGTGGTGGGACCTTGCACTGATCCCTGTGTGCTTTGGGACATGTCTGCACAGCAGGACTGCACTGGACCCCTTCCCTTTGGAAGGGAGGACGGAGCTCCTCAGTACAGCAGTTTCCTCCAGGCCTGTTGTGTCCCATGGTGCTCTAGTGCGTTTCTGGGGAAAGGATTGGGAGCAGAATGGGTGTGTGTGAGGCCTCAGGAGCTGTTACCTGACCTCAAAGCCATGAGCAGGTCACTCTTAACCCTGAGCTGTGTGCCACCCCCAGTTACTACGCCAAGCTGCGGCAGCAGGAGATCGAGCGCGAGAGGGAGCTGGCCGAGAAGTACCGGGATCGAGCCAAGGAGAGGAGAGATGGAGTGAACAAGGACTACGAGGAGACAGAGCTGATCAGCACCACTGCCAACTACAGGGCAGTGGGGCCCACGGCCGAGGCGTACGTGGGCTGGGCTGGGGGCTGGGCTGGCCGGGCTGGTCTGGGGGGCTGGCCCTCACCTGGCTCTGGTCTCACCGCACAGGGATAAATCGGCTGCGGAGAAGAGGAGACAGTTGATCCAGGAGTCCAAGTTCTTGGGTGGTGACATGGAGCACACTCACTTGGTGAAGGGTCTGGACTTTGCGCTGTTGCAGAAGGTTAGTGCAGATATCACAGTGCTGCTCTTGGCCTGTGCTCTCCCACAGACACACAGGGTGGGGGTTACTGCTTGGTCTTGGCAGTGTGGATGTCTTTTCCTGGGAAGGGTTGCTGCAGGGCTGGGGATCTGATGGGCTCACAGATGGGCAGCAATGGCATGGGATGGACTGTAATGTGTGGATTTATTCTGCATCCAGGTACGAGCTGAGATTGCCAGCAAGGAGAAGGAAGAGGAGGAAATGATGGAGAAGCCCCAGAAAGAAACTAAGTGAGTGATTGAGTATTTGGCATTCCTGAGTGCAGCTGCTTGCCAGAGAGGAAGATGCAGAGGAGTCATTCACTTGGCTCTAACACTTCTGGTTTCTGTTTCTGTTTAGGAAAGATGAAGATCCTGAGAACAAAATTGAATTCAAGACCCGGCTGGGTAAGACTGTGTTGATGTGGCTGTTCCCCACCTTGTCTGTGCTGTGAATGTGGGAGAAATCCTGGAGGGTGAATGTAGGAATGAAAACCATTGGAGTGGGAGATTCCTGAATTTGAGGACTGAAAGAAGTGTGTACTTAGGAGGTGATTCTCATATTGCTGATAAACTAAACGTGGTTCACTTTGGGCTTGTCCTCTGCTTTCCCACACTTTTCCTTCTGCCCAGGCCGCAACATTTACCGCATCCTGTTCAAGAACAAGACGTACGAGCGGAACGAGCTGTTCCTGCCGGGCAGGATGGCCTACGTGGTGGATCTGGATGATGAATATGCCGACACCGACATCCCCACCACGCTGATCCGCAGCAAGGCTGACTGCCCCACCATGGAGGTACCAGCTGGCCTGCAGCCTGCTTCCCCTTGCTGCTCTGAGTCTGGCCAGAGCAGGTTGTTCTGGGAGGCCTTCCCTGTCA